ATCAACAGATGACTGGATAAAGAAGAGGTGGTGTATTTATACAATGGAATACCATTCAGCCATAAAAATGACAACATAACACCATTTACAGCAACATGGATGTCCCTGGAGAATATCATTCTAAGTGAAGGAAGCCAGAAAGAGAAAGAAAAATACCATATGGGATCACTCATATGTGGAATCTTAAAAAAAAAAAACCAAAAACCACATAAATACGAAACAAAAACAGACTCATAGACATAGAATACAAACTTGTGGTTGCCAAGGGGGAGGTGGGTGTGGGTGGGAAGGGATAGACAGGGAGTTCAAAGTTTGTAGATACTGACAGGCATATGTAGAATAGATAAACAAGATTATATTGCATAGCAGAGGGAAACATACACAAGATCTTATGGTAGCTCACAGAGAAAAATGTGACAATGAATATACACATGTTCATGTATAACTGAAAAATTGTGCTCTACACTGGAATTTGACACAACATTGTAAAATGACTGCAACTCAATAAAAAAAAAAAAAGAAACAATCTAAAAGCCCCGTGACAGTGGAGCAGTTAAATAAACTGAGACACGTCTATATAGCGAAGTGCTGTGAAACCACCAAAATGGTGCCGAGGACTATTATGCATGATGTATCCAAAGCTCTACTGAATGACCTCAAAATTCTTTTTTTTTAAATTAATGTGCACATGCATATTTATACATGGGGAAGAAACCAGAAGGATATGAATGTTAACAGCAGATATGTCTGGCTTGTGGGATCATGTTCTTTTTTTTCTCCTTTGAGCTTTTGCCTGTTTTCCAGTTTTCTCCAATAAGTTTGTGTTCATTTTATACTTAGTCTTTTTAAACTTTTCAATATGGAAAATTTCAAACATACACAAAAAGTAGGAAGAAGAGAACAGTAGACCCCATGATCCATCATTTTGTTTCAACAAGGATCAATATTTTATCAAAGTGGTTACCTCTGTACTCTATTCCCTGCCCCATACCCCTCCAGTCTTTTTCCTGAAATATTTTAAAGCAAATCCCTTATAACATTTTACCTGTAAGTACTTCAGTATGCATTTCTAACTAATAAAGCCTATTTAAAAAATAACGTAACCACATACCAGTATCTCACCTAACAAAACTAGTAATGATGCCTTAATACAAACATATACCCAGTCCACACTCAGATACCAGCTGTCCCCCAAAATGTTATTTTGCATTTGGTTGTTTGAATCATGCTCTAAGCAAGGTCAAAACTGTGACTGTGTGTTGTAAAATCCCTTTTGTTCTCTAACATTCCCTCCTCCTGTCTCTCATTAATTTTTTTAAAAATATAAGGTAGTTCTCCAGTATCTTCTGATTAATAAGAAACAGTCATAGAAAAGACTCTCTAAATGGAGAGATACTGAAGCCAAAAGCTGTGGATGAAATACTAAGAAATAAGTTTAGGATATTGTAAGTGAGGGTAAATAGAAAACACATATCCAGTGTTTTCAAAAAAATCAAGTCTAGTTAATTTATACAAACGTCATTGCTGCAGTCAAGTAGTAATTAACCCAGCCTCGCCCTGGGCTGACGTCACTGGCCTCCTCCGCTCCCTCATGCTTTCTCGTGCAAGTCCTTCTCCCATGTTACCCTGAGCTCTCTTCCATCACCAAGCTGGAAAACTTTTCAGGCTGTGACTCAAAATCTAGAAGCCATAAAAAATTACTGAATTCAACAAAGAAGGACATCTGCAGACAAAAAGTAACATTAAAAGACAAATGACAAAGTAGAAAAATATCTTCCATTTCTATCACAAAGAGCCATTCTCCCTAATATACAAAGAACTCCTAGAAATTAGTAGGAAAAGGCCAACCATCAAAAAGCAATGTAGTCAAGGCCAGAAACAGTTTACAGAAGAGGAAATCTCAATGACTCAACATATAAAAAGGAGCTCATACTCACTCCTAAGGAAAATGCAAATTAAATTGATGCTCCTGCACTGCGTTTTCCT